CAAAAATCAATTCATTACCGGCAATCCAAAGATGCCGATAAGGTTTTGAAGCATTCTTGTATTCGAAGAAGATATTTTGTTACAAGAAGTAGTGTGTTGATGCTCATGCCCAAGGGAATAAAATTAGTAGTGGGGAAAGGATTCAAATCTTTATATATGATTCCATAAGAGTACAAAGCTCTATGCTTTTGCATGACTGATACATAAAATTTAAAAACAGAGCTCTCATACCTGAAAGTTGAATGAGAAAGCAAAAAAAACAGGTCCTTTACTTTAGTCCTTCGCTAAGGCCAGGTGGCATGCCTAAGCTCTGCGCAAGGTCACTCATTCTTTCTTTCATAGCCTGTAAAATTTGGAAAGTACAATAGAGATGAAGGGACACAAATACTTAGTTGCATTGTGAATCTGTGATAAATGGTATGCGATTGCTTTACCAACACACTCTTGGCGTGTGCGTCCTTGTACGCTTCTGTGACCAGTTGTGAAAGTTTCTGCCAAAGGAAAACACACAACATGAGAAACCATTCTGATTAACACAAGAACAACCGATGATAGCTAGCCTTGATTGTTCCAGAGCAAGGTAGGTGTCGTTACTCACTTCGGAACCTAATTCCATTGCTGCCTCGGTTATATCGGTACGGATGGGTTGTTGGTTTCCTGACAACGTAACCTGAAACAAGCATAAAGGTTTCGGGTCATAGGAGTTTGAAACAGAAACAACAAAGTTTTGTGAGTGTAGATTGGGATTCTTGCTAGAGTATCTAAAAAACATTAACAAATCAGACAACACAGTTCTAAATCCATGAAGAATCACAAAGAAGAGGACAAGATAACTCTTATGGAAATTGACACAACTAAGAAGCAGAATGGATAGTTTAACAAAGGAAATGTTTGTTAATACTGGATTGACTAAGCAAGCACTAGTAGTCTTATATTGTGTGCGACAAATCGATTAGGAGAAGAAAAAAAGATCTGCACTGACCTTGACAAGCTCGCCTTCACAATAACCATCAAATTCTGCTCTGAGAAGTAGAAACAAGAGCAGCAACAAACACAAGTCAATCCACATAGAAGAAAACTGAAAATCACTTGTTTTTATGGTAAATACAACTTACGCAGCTAGTTCTTTTTGCACACGTACAGCCTCCACTTGAACAACCATTTGGGCTTTCTTCACAGTCTCATACATATTCTGCATGTTACCAAAAATCCCTGCCTAGGAAAATCACAAGGAGAAATAAGAAACTCGTAATAAGTAAGGAGCAAAGAGCAGGAGCAGAATGAGCAAGTAAGTTTGCCCGTAAACTTGGATATTATTCGGTGGTGTTTCAATCTTCTTGACATGAAGCTTAACTGAATTTCCATATATATTTTGAAGAATCTGTTTTGATATCTTAAAACAAGCATAGAAAATGTATGGATGTACCTTTGATTGACCATCCTCACTATTATCTTTCTTTCCACCTCCGAACAATCCATTCACACGAAGGGACCTGTAACCATTTCTAGACTTTTGCTGATTCGGCCATGTCGCGGTCTGTCTACAATTTCTCTGGGGATTCAAGCTCGCATTTCCTGAAAATTGATCAAGAAAATAAACACTCGGAGATATAATTGAAACTACAAAGAAGTGGAAATTAGAATCAAATTACGAAAGATGAAGCAAATTCAGATGAAACCCAAACGCACCAAGAACATTTAAAGAGACAACACACAAAATCAATCCATTGTTTACTAACCTAAACACAGAGAGACGCAAGTAGGGAATAACAGAGAGAGAGAGAGACTGACCATGGGAGGAGAAAGGAGAAAACAGGGATTTGGTGAAATCGGTGGTCGACGCCATTGTTTGTTTCTTCTTCGAGGGGAGAGCAAAGGGCGAATTCGACGAGATAAAGCGGAGGAGAGAGAGGAATTGCTAATTTGTGTTTGTTCAACTTCTTAACCAATGATTTAGTGCCACATCACTGACCCCTTTGAGCTAAAGTTTTTTTCTTTTCTTATTATTTTAGAAGATCTTAACAATTCACAACCAGAAGTTTTACTCCTTTAGAGGTCAATGCCATTATGACCTATAAACTATGGTAAAATGGATTACAAACAAACGGTCCATTTTAGATAAGAAAACATGACATATCTTCCGCCATGTCCAAACAAAACATTATACTACTCTTGTACTAAACATGATACTGTAATATGACAACATACTCTAAGATGCAACACTCTGGTACTAAACCCAATATTCTTG